TTTAAATTTTCAGCATCATTACTCCAGTCTTCAGTGTCCCATGATCTGTCAGAAATCATTCTAATATGATGATTTGTTGCTCAAGAAACATTACTTATGATCTGTGTTGAAAACAGGTGTGCTTCTTAATATTTTTGTGGGAACCATAAAACCGCTACATGCGTTTTTGTTTTGTTGCACAGTTACCCAATGGTTTCTTCCATTTCCAACTCAAGACAAAGTCCCTGCCAAAGCCGGTTTTCAAAATGGCCATCCTGGATGTCAATTTATGATGAGTCATAACTATGATTATGACTAAGAAAAGCAGTTAATAGTCCTGATTTTTAAGCAGCCTCCTTTCATGCTCCCTGTGGGTAAATTTGATTGGAAATAACCCCCTCCAAACAACATCAAAGGGTATGACAAGCAGGGGAAAAAAAGGTTTTTTTGGGGGGAAAAGAAAAAAAAATCACTGTTTTGAATGAAGATGTTTTCCTCTAAAACATTACCGATGCATTTGTTCTGAAGTTCCTGCTGATTTTACATCAGCTTTGGAAGCACATTAAAGGATGGGAAAATAATTGTGTTTTTCCACTCATTATTCATTACCAAAACCTCAATAATGCATGCCGAAAAACAACGTTTATGAATACAAACGAGTAAAATGAGATTATTTGTACTTACGGAAAGCCATTTTCATGTGCTTTACAAGTGAACTGCAGTTAAAGAATAACATAATTTAGCAGAAAATGGCATTTTGTTATTGACACATGCTCAACAGAATTGCGTTGCATACTTAAAGGGGTCATATGATTTTCAAGTTTTCCTTTCTCTTTGGAATGTTACAAGCTGATTGTGCATAGATAAGATCCCTGAAGTTGCAAAGACTAAAGTCTCAAAACCAAAGAGATATTCTTTATCAAAGTTAAGACTCTGCCACGCCCCCCTAAAATGGCTCGTTCTAACACGCCCCCACATATCTACCTCACTATGTGGAAATATTAGCATAATGCCGCCCAAATGTGCACGCAAAGAAAGAAGGCATGGTTTCAGTAACCACAGTTAGTGTTGAAGCAGCCATGTCAGGGAGACGCCGTGTGTTTCAGTGCGAAAGCAAAAGCACTGTATTTGGCCTTCCAGAAGTAGATGCATTTAGGAATCTTTAAGATTACTTACTACAGAACAGCAATGCATTTTATGGACAACCGTTTCGTGAACCTAGGAGAGGAAGTAATTCTGACTTTGCTATGACAATCTGGCGCTTCTGAAACAGCTACTGTTTTGTTATTAGTTTAAGTATTTGCTATTGACTGTTCAAATGCGGAGTTTTGCGCATCGTGTGTGTGTGTGTGTGTGTGTGTGAGAGAGCGAGACAGGGTCACATCACAGTGGAGTCAGCTGTCTTAACCGTGGCTTGTGTACTGCAAACACATACCAGCTTCATCACTGTGTCTGTGTCACGTGACTCTGTTCCTCTTTCTGGTTCTGTCTTTACATTTATTTTGAAAGATGAAGCTTGCGATTATGGTAAGGGGCGTTACATTTCCGTCGAGTGCTTGCGGTGTTCGGCCAGTCACAATGCACTGGGTCAGCTGGCCAATCAGAGCAGACTGCGCTTGTCTGAAGGAGGGACTTTGTAGAAAACGAAGCGTTTGAGAGAGGTGGGGCATAGAGGACCTACAATAATGTACAGTATTTGAAAAATAATGTGTTTTTGAACATTAAAGCATGTCAGCATATTCTGTTACACCAAATACACAAAATAATGATCTTTAAAAAAGCATCATATGACCCCTTTAATGTTGCCAGAAGAGGTGTTACAGTGAGCATTATCATAAAGTCCGTTCTCCTATGTAGAGCCCGACCAATATGGGTTTTTTGGGGGCTGATGCCGATACCGATATTAGGGAGTAAGAAAAAGAACGATACCGATATATCGGCCGCTATTCTTTTTGTGTAGGCTTTATTATAGTATAGTATAGTCAAAAGTTTGGACACACTTCCCATTTGTGTGTCCAAACTTTTGACTGGTACTGTATATAGAATATATATATACA